TCACAGAGGGGGTAGCACTTGGACCACTTTTTTTTTTTTTTGAGTTGGGAGTCTCACTCTGTCACCCAGGCTAGAGTGCAGTGGCACGCTCACGACTCACCGCAGCCTCGACCTACTAGGCACAGGTGATCCTTCTGCCTCAGCCTCCTGAGGCTGAGATTAAAGGCACACGTATCTCTAAGAAGCAACCTCCAGGACTCCTTAGATTTGCTAACAAAATGGTGTGTACCTGGAGGCTTATAGAGGGAAGGCTTTGGATTCCAAAAAAGAAAACAAAAGAAAACAAAAAGAGCCAGGCTCGGTGGCTCAGCCTGTAATCTCGCGCCTTTGGGAGGCTGAGGTGAGTGGATTGCCTGAGCCCGCGGGTTCAAGACCCGCCTGGGCAACTTGGTGAGACCTCATATCTACAATAAATCAAAATGAGCCGGGCATGGTAGCGTGCGCCTCTAGTTCCAGCTACTTGGAAGGCTGAGGCAGAAGGACCGTCAGAGCCCAGCCGGTCGAGGCTGCGGTGGCCGGGAGCGGCCACTGCACTCCAGTCTGGGTGACAGAGTGAGACTCCAACTGAAGAAAAAAAAAAAAAAGGAAAAAAAGGTCAAATGGAGCAGTTCATTAAGGATAAAGAAATGAGACTATGTCATAATAATATAATAGCAGTTCCCATTTAATGAGCTCTTACATAAGCCAAGTTCTAAGCCAAGCATTTTTCATTATTAGCCCAATTAATTCTCACAACTGCATTTCATACATTCCTTTATTATGGTCATTTGATATCCAAGGAAACACCCCAAAAGATCAGATGAGCTGCCACGATCAGCCAGGTAGCATTTTAAAATGTGAACCCAGATTTTTTTGTTTTGTTTTAAGTTGGAGTCTCACCCTGTTGCCCAGGCTGATGTGCAGGGGCACATAACTGCTACCGCATCCTCAACCTGCTGGGCTCAGGTGATCCTTCTGCCTCAGTCTTCCAAGTAGCCGGAACTATAGGCATGTGCCACCACACCCAGCTAACTTTTTGATTTTGTGTGGAGATGAGGTCTCTCCAGGTTGCTGAGGCTGGTCTCGAACCCCTGGGCACAAGCAATCCTCTCTCCTCCGCCTCCCAAAGTGCTGGAATTACAGGTGAACCATCACACCCAGCTTGATCCCAGATTGATTGAAGCCCTTAATGCAGTGCTTCTGTCTTCCCAAAGAGGACATTTGAGAAGTTTTTGGTGTTAGCAACATCATCAAAATAGTTCCCCCATTCCCACCAAGGAACTTTGTGAACCTGGATACATAATTATTTCTATTTAAAATCAATCTGGCCAGGCTCAGTGGCTCAGCCTGTAATCCCAGCACCTTGGGAGGCCAAGGCAAGTGGATTGCCTGAGCCTGTGGGTTTGAGACCCGCCCGGGCAATTTGGCAAGACCTCATCTCTACAGTAAAATTTTTAAAAAATAGCCAGGTGTGGTAGCGCACATCTGTAGTTCCAGCTACTTGGAAGGCTGAGGTGAAAGGATCTCAGAGCCCAGCAGGCCGATGCTGGGGTGGCCATGAGCATGCGTGCCACTGCACTCCAGCCTAGGCGAAGGAGATTCCAACTCAAAAAAAAGAGAAACACTACTAGAGCAATCGAGTTTAAAACATATACCCTGGGCTGGGCACCATGCCTTAAGCCTGTAATCCCAGCACTTTGGGAGGCCAAAGCAAGAGGACTGCCTGAACTTGCGTGTTCGAGACCAGCCTGAGCAACATGGTGAGACCTCAATAAATAAAAAAATTAGCCAGGCATAGTAGCACGCACCTGTAGTTTGAGAATCGCCTGAGCCTAGCAGGTCGAGTCTGTGGCAGCTGTGAGCATGCCACTACCCTCCAGCCTGGGCAATGGAATGAGACTCCAGCTAAAAAAAAAAAAATATATATATATATATATATGACTTGTTACCCTGGATAAGTGGTTTTCTTCCACTGTTATGATGAATCATTCCAGATATCTTCTTTTTGGTTTAATTGGGTTTTGCCCACTGGGGAGAGAAAGAAGGGCAGGATAGAGGGTACAGACCGGGTCTGGACTCCCGGCATTCTGCCTGCAGCCTAAGAGCAGGACACTCGGGCAGCTGCTTCTGAGGTAAAGATGTGGGTGAGGACAGGACAGAATTGGAAACTGGAGGGAAGACTGGCCTGATTACAGTAGGCTAGGTAGATAAGAGAAGTGATCTTGATCACACGCAGGTTTTCTTTCTTTCTTTCTTTCTTTCTTTCTTTCTTTCTTTCTTTCTTTCTTTCTTTCTGTCTGTCTGTCTTTCTTTCTTTCTTTCTTTCTTTCTTTCTTTCTTTCTTTCTTTCTTTCTTTCTTTCTGTCTTTCTGTCTTTCTCTTTCTTTCCTTTTTTGAGTTGGAGTCTCACTCTGTTGCCCAGGCTGGAGTGCAGTGGCAACCTTGACTTACTGGGTCAGAGACCACCACAACCTTGACCTGCTGGGCTCAGGCAATCCTTCCGCCTCAACCTTCCAAGTAGCTGGAACTACAGGCACGTGCCACCTCACCTGGATAAGTTTTTGATTTATTGTAGAGACAAGGTCTCACCAAGTTTCCCAGGCTGGTCTCGAACCCCTGGACTCAAACAATCCTCTCACCTCGGCCTCCCAAAGTGCCAGGATTACAGGCTTGAACCACTGAGCTTAGCACAAGTTTTCTTTTTAGTAGCAGTCAGGATTCTGAGGTTCAGTTCCAGATGGCCTTCCCTTCCAAGCATGTAGATAACCTCCAAGTTCCTGGGTCACACACAGTCCCTTGGTGGTTCCATTGGCTCAGTACACTGGATCCTGCCACAAGCACAGTGGATCTTGTAAAGAGTCCTAGTTCCTACTTAGACCTCATCCAAAGCAGAAATGGACAGACTCCCAGGTCCCAGCTCTAGAAACAGTTGCTGCTGAGCCATCTCTGCTTCCTGCCGGATGAGGCTCCTGGGAGGGAGGGCATCAAGGTCCTGGAATGGCAGAGCGCCCTGGAGAGCTGTCCAGGGTCAACCTGCAGCCCCCCAGGAGCCCTATGAAAGCCTGGACACACTCGGGGCAGAGGCTGCCGGCTCAGGGAAGCTGAGGATCTCAACGTGCCCCGGGAAGAGATGGAGAGAGGCATGGTGGTGAGGGCACTGGCTGCCTCCCTTTCACCCATCTGGGAATCCATTCCTGCAGAAAGTGCAGTCAGAGACGCTCGTCTTCACGTCCTCACAACAGTCTTAGTGGCCACTTCTCTTTGGACTCTCCTAAGATGCAAAGAATGTTTCTAGAGATGAATAGGATGAAGAGGGGAAGGGAGTTCTAAAAATGTTGAACAGTCTTCAAAGTTTGGGACACTTCAGGTAGCTCCTGGGGATGAATCATCCAACTTCTAAGACAGGCACGCCACAAATGGACTGTGACACGTCTTCCCAGAAGAGCTCTGAGAGCAGGAGATCACCAGCTGCCAGCAATGGCTGAAGGTTGACCTTGAGAGAGCAGGGGCAAAAGAAATGGCCTTCAGGGGCCCTGCTAACTGTGCATTAGCTCTTGAGGTGATACCCAGAGCAGGGGTTCTCAAGATGTGAAACACAGCCCATCTCCATCAAAACCACCTGAAAAGTATCTATTTTAAAAGTCTGATCGGGCGCGATGGCTCACGTCAGCACTTTGGGAGGCCGAGAGGAGAGGATTGCCTGAGTCCAGGGGTTTGAGACCAGCCTGGGCAACTTGGCAAGACCTCGTCTCTATAGTAAATCAAAAAATTAGCCAGGCATGGTGACGCGCACCAGCTACTTGGAAGGCTGAGGTGAAAGGATCACCTGAGCCCAGCAGGTTGAGACTGTGGTTATTGTGAGTGTGCCACTGCGCTCCAACCTGGGCAACAGAGTGAGACTCCTACTCAAAAAAATAAAAAAATTAAAAAGCCTGGCCTTCCTCTGCACCCTCCACCCACTGAATCAGGGCCCCAGAAAGCTGCATGTATCTCTAAAACACCAGCCTCCAGCACTCCTTAGACCTGCTGACAAAACAGTGTATACCTGGAGGCTCATAGAAAACTCTACAGAACTCCTGGCCCCTCCGGAAATCAGAGGGAGGACCTTGGAGCCCAGTACTCTTCGGGTGACTCCCAGCAGCCTGAACAGGTGAGTGACTCAGGGTGGTGAGCTCCAACCTCCCCTGATTTCAGACACTCAGGGTAAACAACCACAAGTCCTCTACTACCCTGTCCCATTTGTAATGACACTCATCAGAGACCACAGAGCACCTGGCAAGCCCAGGAGCAGTGGACTGAAGTCATGTTTTCCTCTATGGTATTGAGCACTGAGCAGCATTTCCTGTGCCTGTGCTTCATTTGCACATTGGCGGTGTCACTTCCTGTCACTGACTCTCTGTTTCCATCCTGGCAAAGCAGTTTAAACTCTGCTCTGCTCTGGGGGCTGAAGGAAGATGAGCTTCTCACGGAGCCTCTGCTGGGCCTCTTGGTGGTTTCCCCCTCTGTGTCCCTCGTGTTTCCACCAGAAAGCAGAGGCCATAGGTGCCCCCTGAGCCACCTCACTGCAGGAGCACCGGCGCCCGATTGAGAGCTCACCTCCTGCCACCAGCCTTGTAGCCACGGCCAGGTAGAACCAAACCTGTTGTTTTTGTGTGTTGGGTCAACTCGGCTTGACATTTCAGGGATGGACACAAGATAAGGAGCTAGTAGGGGGACAGAAAGTTCTAGAAAGAAAACTGAAAGGCTTTGTGTGTAAAGATTTAGGTAGAAATTTTGAGAGTAAGAAGTTGTTTTAGGGAGCATTTAGAAGACATGGAGACCAAAACAATTTCTGTCATTCTTATATTATCTACTAAAAAGAAAAATGGTTACTTGCAAAATACAAACCAATTTGCCTTTCTCCTGGGAGTCAGCAACTTAGGAAGAGCCAAGAAAAGTGGTAGACATGCTGGCCAACTGATTGTGATTCAGTGAAGGCTTAGAAGCTGAAGGCAGAGGGTATCACAGAGGTTCCTGAGACAATGAATGCCATCGTCCCAACACCTCCGGAAATCAGAGGGAGGACCTTGGAGTCCAGCACTCTTCAGGTGACTCCCAGCAGCCTGGACAGGTGAGTGACACAGTGTGGAGAGCTCCACCCTCCCCTGATTTAGACAGAGGCGCCTGGTCCACCTTGAGGACCTTCTAATAAAGGAGTGTTGCCACCTCTCATAGCTGGGTTCAGGTCCACTGAGACCACGAAACTTTAGGCTCAGAGATGTCTGCTCAGGGATGCTAGGAGGAAAGGAGTTATTGAAGAAAGAAAGGAGATGTTTGAGACGAGGAAAAACTGTGGTAACAAAAGTCCTTAGAGCCAACTGCCTGAACTGGTTGAGTTTCTCACCTCTCAGAGGCCCTGACCCCTGTCCTCGGTCTCTCCTGTCTCAGGTTCCGCCAATCACTCCTCAAAGGAAAACGAAACTAGGTCTTAACCATGACAGAAACAAAAGGCCCAATTTCCCAGGGACGTGTTTTTAGATCGTAAAAATTTGCCATGAATGAAAAATGTAATGATAGAAATAATAAATATAGGACATAGGTATAAATTCCTACTGATACTTTCAATCTAATACAAACAAAAATAAAATATTCATCAGTAGTTGGGACTTTTAAAACATTGGTAGGTATAAATTTCAGTGCTATGGCAAAAATGCAACTCAACGATAATAAATTTTAGAATTGCTATGGTTTTGAGGAAAAAAATGTTATCACCATGGCAAACATCATCTGCATGCAGGCATGGGCATTGATGAGGAGTTAATTCACAAAAGTCAGAAGCCTAAAGTATCCCCCCCAGAACAATTTATCTCTTTCTTTCTTTATTTTTATTTCTTTTTGAGTTGGAGTCTCACTCCGTCGCCCAGGCTAGAATGCAGTGGCATACTCATGGCCACCCCAGCGTCAACCTACTGGGCTCCGGTGGTCCTTCTGCCTCAGCCTTCCAAGTAGCCGGAATTATAGGCGTGCCCTACCACTCCCGGCTAATTTTTTTTTTTTTTTTTTTTTTTTAATAGAGACGAGATTTCACCAAGTTACTGAGCTGGTCTAAACCCATGGGCTCAGACAATCCACTTGCCTTCCAAAGTGCTGGGATTACAGGCTGAGCCACCGAGCCCGGCCATTTTTCTTTATTTCTAATTGACAAATGAAACATATATATTTATCATGGCACATAGTTCTGATATATGCATACATTGTGGAATGGCTAAATCGAGCTAATTGAGTAGTTATGCATTACTTCACATAACTTTTTTTTGTACAGTAATGAGTAAAATCATTCAACAATTTTCAAGCATACAATACATTTTTAACTATAGTCATCCTCTCATACGCTGGATCTGTTGAATTTATTCCTTCTGTCTAACTGATATTTTGTATCCATTGACCAACATCTCTGCAGCCCCTCCCCTTCAGCTTTTGGTAACCACCATTCTACTCTCTCCTTCTATAAGTTCAACTTTTTTGAACTTCACGTATAAGTGAGATCATGTGGTATTTGTCTTTTTGTACCTGGTTTATTTCATTTAACATAATGTCCTTCAGGTTCACCCACGCTGTAAAAAATGACAACATTTTTGTTGTTGAAGGTGTAAGGATCTCCTTTTTTTGAAAGGCTGAATAGGATTCCATTATGTATACGTACCACATTTTCCTTATCCATTCATCTGTTCATGAACACCTAGTTGTCTCCAAATCTTGGCTGTTGGGAATAATGCTACAATGAACATGGGCTAGTGTAGACATCTCTTTGGCATTCTGATTTAATTTCCTTGGTTATATACCCAGTAGTAAGATTGCTGGATCATATAGCAGCTCTATTTTTTTTTTTTGAACAGGAGTCTCACTCTGTCATCTAGGCTGGAGTGCAGTGCCATGTTGCTCATGGCCACCGCAGCCTCGACCTGCTAGGCTCAGGCAATCCTTCTGCCTCAGCCTTCCAAGTAGCTGGAACCACAGACATGCACCACCACACCTGGCCAATTTTTTTCTTTTTCTTTTTCTTTTTTTTGTTTGTTTTGAGTTGGAGTCTCACTCTGTCGCCCAGACTGGAGTGCAGTGGCCGCTCCCGGCCCCCGCAGCCTCGACCTGCTGGGCTCCAGCGATCCTTCCGCCTCAGCCTTCCGAGTAGCCGGAATTACAGGCATGCGCTACCACACCCGGCTGATTTTTTTATTGATTGTAGAGATGAGTTCTCGCGGCCCAGGCGGGTCTCGAACGTGCGGGCTCAGGCAATCCACTCACCTCAGCCTCCCAAAGGTGCGGGATTACAGGCTGAGCCACCGAGCCCAGCTTATTTTTAATTTTTTAAAGAACCTCCATAGTGTTTCCCATAATGGATATACTACCCCCAAACTATTTCTATATTCATTTACTTGTTTATTCATTCATTTAACAAATATCCATCAGGGCCCTACCATGTACCAGGCACTATTAAAGGCATTAAGGCAAACGGAATAGACATCCATGATTTTCTGAAGCTTACAGTTGGGTGGGAGAGACAGATGATAGTTAAAGAAATGAATGTGTAATGTAATATCAATCAGTCATCAGTGCTATGAAGGAAAAGTGGAGCAGAGCAAGGGGACTTTGAGTAATAGGTTGTGGCCAGGGAAGACCCTACTGAGGAGGTGACACTTCAGAAGACCTCTGAATGAAATGAGGGACTGAGTCACGCTGATGTCTGGGAGAGGGAGCAGCAGGTCTGAGACAGACTGTGCTTTGCGAGGGCGAGGACAGCAAGGAATCCTGGCAGTCAAAGTCAGAGGGAAGGTGATGGCAGAGGAGAGCAGAAGGTAGGCATAAGCCCAGTCATGTGGTGTTGTAAAGTCCTTTCTGCAGGGACTATCGACTATATTCTAAGTATGGTGGGAAGCCATGGAGAGTTACAAACAGAGGAGAGACTTTTAGCCGGGCACGGTGGTGCATGCCAGTAGTCCCAGGTACTCGGGAGGGTGAAGCCTTGAGACTAGACTAGATCGAGGCTGCGGTGAACTGAAATCATGCCACTGCACTCCAGCCGAATGATGCTCTGTCTCAATTTAAAAAAAATAAAAGAGAGAGACTTGATCTGACTTACTGTTTAGAATGATCAGGCCAGCTAATGTGTGAAGATGGCATGTTGGGGCCAAGAGTGCAGGCAGGAGATCCATCAGGAAGGTTTGCAAAGGTTCATGTGAAACCAGACCTGCCGGGCAATCGCAAGGAAGTGCAGAGCTTGCATTGGTTAAATTCCACACAGTAGAGTGTTGTTTGGAGACTAGCTCCACAAGCTGGTGCTGTGGGGTTATTCAAGTTCATGCAAGCTGGACTCCGTCACAGAGCCACTCCCTCATTGTGAACTGGGCAATCCTCTCCTCCAAACGATCTGGGAAGCCCAAGAACAGGGAACAGAAGGACACAAGGCCAGATGAATTTGACTCTGCGAGTTTAGCGGACTGTGGTGGAGGGAAAAAGCATGATCTTTGGACACAAATAGACCTAGATTCACATTCCTTCTTCGCTCCTTCCTACCGGTGTAATCTTTGACATGTTACTTTATCCTTCTAAGTCTAAATTTCAGATTCCTTGACCACAAAGCAAAATAAAATTGTAAAGACTAAATAAGTTTCAGACGCAGACCCTTGGCACCCAGTAGACATTCGAAAGGGATAGATCCTGCTTTGAGAAAACTCACCCAAACCGCTTTTTTTTTCCCCTCTGCTCTCACATTATAGCAATTATCAACTCAGAAGATTTCTGTGCCCAAATATTGGGGTTTCTCCCCACCAGCAAGCATCAGACCCAAGCTGGGTGTCCTCCATTTCAATTCTGACACTATCTGGAGATAGTGGCAGATCTCACAGGGTAAAGATTCAGTCCCCAAGACTGTGTCTCCTTAGGTTTGATTAATTTGCTAAGGCAGCTCACAGAACTCTGGGAAACATCTCTACTATTTATTACAAAGGATATTGCAGAGAAGATAGTTGAAGACACATGTGGGCAAGGTACAGGGGAAGGGTCACAGAGCTTCCAGCCCTCCCAGGCACCACCCTCCAGGAGCTTCCAAGTGTCCAGCTACTCAGAAGCTCTCCCAACCCAGTTCTCTTGGGTTTTTATGAAGCCTTCAAGATGTCAGCCTTTCTTTCTGCAGTGTATAGTGCAAGACCTTCTCTGAGGGTCTTTTTTTTGTGGGGCAGGGCGGGGAATCCTCTGACCAGAAGAGATAGGAAAGGACCTTCCTCCTTTCTAGGCAAGGCAATAAAACTCCTTCACCCTCTGGACTTCAGGGTACACCAGGGCAGAAACCATCAGCTGCCAGAGAGTTACTAAAGATTGTCTGCTGGAAGACTGAAAAATAAAAGCAAACTCTTGCCTCTCATGCAGTTGGATGATGGAGGCCTGACATCTTTCCTCTAGGACCTTATGGACCACTGAGTAGCCCAGCCAGGATCGTCAGTTATCTCTGGTCTCAGACATAGTCCACTGAGAAATCTTGAGTTGGAGGAGGAAAGAGAGTAGAGGAAGAGGTCCCTGTTAGGAGAGGTCCCCCATAATGAGCCACCAAATGCCATATGCAGCAGGCTGGATATTGTTTGACTGGAGTTGTGGGGGGGTGAAAATATTCACCAAGACAGTCATGAATTAAGAAAGGTAGATTTATTAAAGGAAAGATACATTGTGAAGGGCACAATGGGCAGGACAACAGCAAGAATGCCTGCTATGAGGGTCTTAAGACCCACATCAGAAAGGTGGGGGTAAACCAGAGTCCTGCAGGGCAGGTGAAAGGAGGGTAGGAGGTCAGAGACATTCTGTTTCTGAGCCTGCCCCTGAGGTCTAACACACCCGCACTGTAACAAAAGACTATCACAAGGGCAGGTGTGATGGCTCATGCCTTTCATCTTCAAGAGGCCGAGGCGAGAGGATTGCCTGAGCTCAGGAGTTTGAAACCAGCCTGGGCAACAAGATGGGACCTCGTCTCTACAATAATAAGAGGTCCCCAACCCCCAGGCCTGCCCAACAGAAGGTAAGCAGTGGGCGGGAAAGCGAACAAAGCTTCATCTGTATTTACAACCGCCCCCCACTGCCCGCATTACTGCCTGAGCTCTGCCTCCTGTCAGATCAGCAGTGGTATTCGATTCTCATAGGAGCATGAACCTTATTGTGAACCGCACATGTGAGGGGTCTAGAAATAAAGTGTACAATAAATGTAACACGCGTGAATCATCCTGAAACCCCACCACCATCTCAGTTCGTGGAAAAATTGTCTTCCACAAAACTGATCCCCTGGTGCCAAAAAAGATTGGGAACTGCTACAGTAAATTCAGAAAGTAGGCAGGCCTGGTGGTGGTGCACATCTGTAGTCCCAGCTGCTTGGGAGGCTGAGGTGGAAGAATCTCCTGAGCCCAGCAGGTCGAGACTGCAACGGCCAAGATTATGCCACTGCACTCCATCCTGGGTGACAGAGTGAGACTCCAACTCAAAAAAAGGAAAAGAGAGAGGAAAAAAAAAGACTTTAACAAGGACTATGGCAGTTATGACCCAGGAACCATGACGAACACCATTATCTGTAGCAAGACACCACAGTGCCTTCTCCCATGTCCAAGTCCCTTCTCTCCATAGTCTTATTCAGAAATAACCCTCTTCCACTCCATCTTGGCTTTCCTTCACTGGGCCCCATTCCAAAAGTTTGGGCTCTAACTCCCAAAGGATATATCTTTTCCAACCCCCCACCCACCCACCCATGGCCAGGGCATGGCATTTGCTTGTCCTTCTAGAGATAAAGACCAGAACAGCAGCATCTTTTCTGGGTTTGCGGGACTCCTCGTCATCCTCCTGGTCATCGTGGGTCTCTGCATCCTGTGGAAATGGAACAAACGGAAGAAGCGTGAGTCCTTTGTTTGTCCTGAGTTGAGAAATGGTAGGATTCATAATCTGGCCTGGCATTTAAAGCCCAGTTTATTTTCCAGGGATAAACTACTGCCCTGGGGAGTCCTCAGATCTTATCTGACATGCTAGCCATTGTCTCATGCAAGATCCTGAACTGTTCTGCTTCTGTCTACCAAGTCCCCTATTCCTTTAACTCAAATGGAAATTCTGGCCAGGCATGGGGGCTCACGCCTGTAATCCCAACACTTTGAGAGGCTTAGATGGGATAATTGTTTGAGCCCAGGAGTTTGAGACCTCATCTTTACAAAAAATTTAAAAAATTAGTCAAACGTGGTGGCACATACCTGTACACCCAACTACTTGGGAGGCTGAGGCAGAAGGATTGCCTGAGCCCAGGAGGTTGAGGAGGCAGTGAGCTGTGATCATGTCACTGCATTCCAGCCTGGACGACAGAGTGAGGCCCTGCATCAAAAAAAAAAAAAAAAAAGGAAATTCCTCTAGCTCAAGTCTGAAGGTATATTTTTTATGAGACCTGGTGAAGGTAGGGAATATTTTTGGGGGCCATCTCACTTTCCTGAGCCCCCACATTCTGTGCAGCTGACGCCCATTTCTCCCATCACTTTGCAGGACAAGTGCCTTACCTCCGAGTTACCGCCATGCGCTCACTGACTCTGCCACGACCCAGACAACGAATCAAAAATATTTATGACATCTTGCCCCGGCGGCAAGAAGAGCTGGGTAAGTTTTATCCTTCTAATCCATGAAATTCAGACAGTCAAACTTCTGCTCCCAGAATGCACCTCTCACCACCCAGAAGCAACTACCTCTGAGTTTTCAACTCCGCCTGCCCTTCAGAGAGCACCAGAGAGAACGGGATAGACAGACTGTGAGCTACAACCCCAGATGGGGACCTAGAGAGCTCTAAAAAAGGACCAGGGGGTCATCTGGGCTGGGGGTTGTTTCCTCTTAATGTTGAAGCAGAAGAGGAAAGCCAAGTGTGCCTAAGCATGGGGAAAACTCCTTCTGCAAGTTTTGGCACCAGCAGTGCTGGAGTGTCTCCCACAGGAGCTTCCTTCTTGGCCTCCCCAATCCCTGCGCCAGCATCCTCCAGCACCACAGAAGCTGAGGAACCTTCCAGGTCTCAGAGTGCATCATCCCTATAGCTCTGATCCCATTCACCACACCATGCCAGACCCCAGACTGGAAATTCCAGACACCACACAAACCCAGTTCACCCATGATGTGGGGATTGGGCTGAAGCACTCAGGGAACTGGATAACTCTCTTCAGGATTTGTTCTGTGTCCTTTCAGGGAGACATCAGTCAAGGAGTATCCGTGTTTTCAGTACTGAGAGCCTGCTCTCCAGAAATTCAGACAGCCCTGAGCACATGGTAAGAGTCAAGTGAAAAGACAGCTTCTTTGGAGAATGACAAGTGTCTGGCAGAAGAACTGAGGAGAAAGAGTTCTAGGGCTTGGATCTGGTTTCAGCATAGACAAGCAGCACATCCTTTGGCATTTGCCCTGCAACCCTATTAATAAACTGGGAAAACCAGCCACAGGACCTCCCTATACCCAAGGAGAATTAGAAAGAACAGGAGCAAGTGCTTGGGGTTTTTACACCAGGCCAGGTACGCCTGTAATCCCACACCTTGGAAGGCCAAGGCAAGAGGACTGCCTAAGCCCAGGGGTTCAAGACAAGCCTGGGCAACTTGGCAAGACCTCGTCTCCACAATAAGTAAAAAAATTACCTGGGCATGGTGGCACATGCCTGTAGTTCTATCAACTTGGAAGGCTGAGGCAGAAGGACCACCTGAGCCCAGCAGATTGAGACTGTGGTGGCTATGAACGTGCCACTGCACTCCAGCCTGGGTGACAGAGTGAGACTCTGATTCAAAAAGAAAAACACCAGGGTACATGTATTCAAGTACGTGACGTCAGAACTGATATTGTTTTAACAAAGACACGACAACATACTTATCCAAATGAGTATTGTTCCCTTCAAAGTACTTACCTCAAGAGGGTATACAAATATCCCAACAATGCTGTTGGTGCTCAAAACACATTTAAAATCCTGCTTTGGAAATTACTTCTAGTGCCTGTGTCAAATTGTTTCAATTATCCTCAGTAGCAGAAATAGCCATAAACCATTCAGCACTGTAGCTGATATAGTGTTTGCCCAAGTGGGGGATAATCTCTGAGGTTACAAGGGGAATGTTATAATTACAAGGGGAATGTTATAATTAATAATAATAACCGGCCAGGCACAGTGAATCACTCCTGTAATCCCAGCACTTTGGGAGGCCAAGGCGGGAGGATTGCTTGAGCCCAGGAATTCAGGCCCAGCCTCGGCAACATAGTGAGACCTTGTCTCTTAAAAAAAAAGAAAAAGAAAGAAAAAAGAATAATAATCCCAAGAGTTTTATGATCTGGCTCTGAAGGCAGCTCCCGAAGATAAGTCCAAAAACAGTTGGTTGCAGAGGCACCAGGGCAGGTAGAGGGACTGCCTGAAAGATCAGAGTACTGGTTGCCATAGATAAGCTGTTGCTTGTTGGTTTCTTTAAAAAAAATTAGTCCCGTTGGTTTTGTGGTCATCCTTGGGTAAATGCGTTGATGCTACTGAGAGAGACTCTGTTGTTACTCAGCCTCTCATTACCCAGAGTTTTGGGTCCAACTACTACACAGCCATCCCCGTGTTTCCGCCTTTGCCTCCTCTGCTCCTGCTTTAAGACTTCCTGGGTAGCAAGCTTGAGTGGCAGATAAGGAGCAGGCAAGAAGAGATTCCATTGCCAAAGCTAGTTCCAGGACTTCGGTGGACCCTGAGGAAATTTTGCATTTAGAGTTTAGGTCCCAAATTGTCTTAAGTCCACAAACAAGCTTGACTTGGACTCTACAGTATTTGAAGAACATTTCGAATCAGTTGCCCAGACTTAAAGTTAAAGACATTTCAAGACATCTGGAAGTCCAGATGCTTTTCTTAAAAATGCAAAAGTTCTGAAAACTTCAGAGCAGCATTCCTAAATGGCAACCATCAGCTGAGTCCATGAACTAGCTGTCCCTTTAATATAACGGCAGGCCGTTTTTGGTATCTTTTGTGTGCCAGGAGCTATTCTAAACACTTCCTATGTAGTAATCAATTTACTCCTCATAAAACCTTATAATGGAGATATTATGATAATTCTCATTTTATAAATTAGGATGTGAAAGCACAGAGAGATTAGGTCAAGCGCTCTGCCCCACTCAGCACAAAGTGGAGAGGCTGAGATATGCATCCTCAGTCTGACTCCAAGCCTTTACCTTTAGCCGCCATGCTATATTGCCTCTCAATGTGCTCGGAGGGGACAGGCTCTCTCCAGTTGATAATACTTTCACCCCACGCCTCACTGAATCCCCACACTGTGGGCAAAACCAGCTGCAATGTATCATCACATTTGTGCTGTTGCTCTTCCTAAACTCAGTCCACTTCGCTCAGACCTCGCCTTGGCCTCCCAAAGTGCTGGGATTACAGGAGTGATTCACTGTGCCTGGCCGGTTATTATTATTAATTATAAAGGTAGAGCTTTGCAGTTGGCGACCCCTGATTTAGAGGTTTTCTCCAAGGTGGGAGACCAGGTAAAAGAACTGGAAGGAAGGAGGGAAGGTTTGCCCATGTTTCTGTTTCCATCCTATCACTGGCTCTCTCTTCTCCCTCACAGCCCTTCCAAGCAGGCAGTGCCCTCCAGGTACACAGTGTCCATATCCATGCCGTGGAGTATGCAGTGGGTATCTATGACAATGCCATGGTGTCCCAGATATGTGGAAACCTCACTTCCTTGGCACGTGGCATCAATGTCAGAGCTTCCAGAGACTCCATGAGCATTTCTTCAGAAGATTCACATGATTACGTCAATGTCCCCGTAGCAGAAGACATCGCTGAGACCCTAGCTTCAACCAACAGCCCTCCTGGAAAGCCCTTTGTTCTTCCAAGTGTCCAGGAACCAGAGGTTACTGAGGAAAGAGATGTGGGCTGTGGGGATGCCAGTGACTGTACCAGCTTTTGGTCTCCAGGAGCTGAGGGCAGTGATCCACTCAGCGATGGGGAAGGCTCTTCTCAGGCCTCAAATGACTATGTCAACATGGCTGGGTTGGATCTCGAGGTCATCCAGGAGAAGCAGCCCTGGGTGGCTTTTCAATGCTGCAGAGACTATGAAAATGTACCACCAGCAGATCCTAATGGAAGCCAGCAGCAGGCTGAGGAAGAAGTGACAGCCTCAAACACAAGCTGTGTCGAGGGCAGGATAGATGGTCCAGGGACCCGCATCCAACCTGTAACAAGGAGACTCCTGTCTTCAGGGAAGTATGTGGCCTTTCAGCCATCCACACAGAGTGAGAATGGTCAGGTGAAAAGTGGAGAAGAGATGTCAGATGAGGATTCTAATGACTATGAGAATGTGCTGGCTGCCAAGTTAGGAGGTAGGGACTCTGAGCAGAGGCATGGCACTCAGCTCCTTCCTGATGAATTAAGACTCAGTCACCTGGCTGAAAAGCCACATGCAGTGGTCTACCATGCCGAATCCTTAGCCCCTGCGGAATCAAGTGAAGACCCATGAACACCCTAGAATTTCATTGGACTCAGGCCAAAAAGAGACTGAGATGAGATGAGCAAAAAACTAAGAGGCTGCACAAAAGCAGAGGTTTGAGAAAGCCAGAAAAGATTATTTTCAACAAGAATGTTACAGGCTGGGCTCAGTGGCTCAGCCTGTAATCCCAGCACTTTGGGAGGCCGAGGCGGGTGGATTGCCTAAGCCCGCAGGTTCGAGACCAGCCTGGGCAACTTGGCGAGACCTCATCTCTACAATAAATAAAAAATTAATTGGGCATGGGTAGCGCATACCTGTAGTTTCAGCTACTTGGAGGGCTGAGGCAGAAGGATTGCCTGAGCCCAGCAAGTCGAAGCTGGGGTGACTGTGAGCATGACACTGCACTCCAGCCTGGGCGATGAAACGAGACTCTAACTCAAAAAAAAAAAAAGAAGAAGAAGAAGAAGAAGAAGAAGAGTGCTACTATCTCTCATGGCAACCCAAGAATATTGTTGAAACTGCCTCATAGAGCTGTTAGGAAATAAAAAACAGGAAAGTAGTACACAGCAGAAGTTTGACGTTATCTAAAATCATTAACTTTACTAATACCAGCAGGCTGCATAGCAAAAGTATAGATTATTTTATAATCTAGGCAGAGGCCAAAAGGAAGGGAGAAGTTAGAGTGGGGTAGGATGGGAAGTTTCCATTTTAAAAAGAATGTGGACAACCCACCAGGTGCTCACACCTTTAATCCCAGCATTTTGGGAGGCCAAGGTGGAAGGATCGCTTGAGGTCAGGAGTTTGAAACCACCCTGGACAACATAATAAGACCTTATCTCTACGAATAAATTTTTTAAATTAGTCCGTATGGTAGTCCTGACTGTAGTCCCAGCCACTTGGGAGACTGAGATAGGAGGATCCCTTGAGCCCAGGAGGTCTAGGCTGTAGTGAGCTATGATCATGCCACTGCACTCCAGCCTGGGCAACATAGCAAGCAGGTGAGGGTGCAGAACAGGAGCTCTCATCGTTCACTAATGGGATTGCAAAATGTCACAGTCACCTTGGAAAGCTGTCCGGCAGTTTCTTAAAAGCATACATTTATTATATGGCCCAGCCATTTCACTACTAGAATTGACCCAAGTGAATTGAAAACTTAGGTTCACACAAACCCACACATGACTGTGATAGTCGCTTCATTCATAAGTGCCAAAAACTAGAAATAACCCAGATGTTCTTCAACAGGTGATTGGATGAACAAACTGTGACAACCATTTCGTGAGTTTATGCTTACTCAGCAGTAAAAAGGAATGAGCTTTGGTTCACACAACATGCACAAATCTTAAATTCATTTTGCAAGTGAAAGAAGCAAGGCCTAAAAGTCCACATATTGTATGAATCCATTTATACGATATTCTAGAAAAGGCAAAACTATAGGAATGGAATTCAGATAAGTGGTTGCCAGGTTTGGGAAAAGGAGAGTTTACTACGAGGGGCTGCACAGGGAATTTTTAGGACGATGGAGCTGTTCTGTATGCTGTCGTGTGAGGAATATATGACTGCATGCAGTTGTCAAGCACAAGAACTGTATACCACAAAGAGGGATTTTTTGGTATGCAAACTTTTAGAAAATGAACCCAGGGTGGTATGCAAATTGTGACAAGTAAATCTAATTGTATTATGAGTGTATGACCTCAACTCACTAAAGGGGAAGGGACTGATTTAATTAACTATGCAAAACAATGTTTGGATTTGAAATGGTAATATAAAGACACAAAGAACCATATACAAACAATACACTCTAGTTGGTAAAATTGTATCTCACAGAGGGATGGGTTAGCAATACCGAAACTACTCTAAACTGGTGCGATGGCTCATGCCTGCAATCCCAGCACTTTGGGAGATTGAGGTGGGAGGATCACTTGAAACCAGGATTTAAAGATCAGCCTGGGCAACACAGCAAGACCCCCATCTCCACAAAAAAATAAGCCGGGCTCGGTGGCTCAGCCTGTAATCCCGCACCTTTGGGAGGCTGAGGTGAGTAGATTGCCTGAGCCCGCAGGTTCAAGACCCGCCTGGGCAGCGAGACCTCATCTCTACAATAAATCAAAAAATCAGCCGGGCGTGGTAGCGCATGCCTGTAATTCCGGCTACTTGGACGGCTGAGGAGGAAGGATCACCGGAGCCCAGCAGGTCGAGGCTGCGGTGGCCGGGAGCGGCCACTGCACTCCACTCTGGGCAACAGAGTGAGACTCCAACTCAAAAAATATATAAAAAAATAAAAATAAATAAAAAACATATCTGGCTATGATGGCATGCACCTGTAGTCCCAGCTACTCTGGAGGTTAAGGAGGGATGATCCCCTGAGCCCAGGAAGTCCAGATTGTAGTGAACCGTGATCGTGCCACTGCACTTCAACCTGGGCAACAGAGTGAGACCCTGGCTTTATAAAAAAAAAAAAAAAAAAAAGGAGAGATTTGTATCACATGTGAGAGTGAAGCTTGTAACTAAGAGGGGATGAAAAATTATGGGATCTCAATTAGAAGTTGTTAAGATAGCCATCACCCAGTGTTGGGAAGGACAATCTATCAACTGGAGGCAGGTCCTAGAAAAACTGTAAGCCAGCTCGCTCATGTTTATAAACCAACAATTGGATACTTCAATAAATCAGTTACACTTAAATTTCTCCTGAATCGGTCATGATTAATAAATTGTAGATTGTCTCTATTAGATAGGTAAACTTTCTATTTATTTCTTGCTCTAAGATTTTTTTACAAATGACCAATGAAGGAATTTTTATTGAATTGTAATTCTTTCCTTCCCTTTAGAGTTTTGTTTTCTCACTTTAGTTGCCAGAAAATTGTGAGTAATGTCTCATCTCCTACACGCGATAATGCTTAATATGAGGACTTTTTTTGAAAATTAGGACAAGATGAAAAAGTAGATATGAAGATATATGTAAAAGCAGATATAAAAAAAGATAATGAATCCATTGTGATTCCTTAGTTAAATATACTGAATTAATTATTCAAACTTTATTATATTGATTCTATCTTCATTTAGAATACTGTTTAGTGTGAAATACAAAGGATTTTGTTTGTTTTGAGTTGGAAACTTACTCCGTCACCCAGGCTGGAGGGCAGTGGCACACTCATGGCCACCCCAGTGTCGACCTGCTGGGCTCTGGCAATCCTTCCGCCTCAGCCTTCCAAGTAGCCAGAACTACAGGCGTGCACTACCATGCCCAGCTAATTTTTGGATTTATTGTAGAGTTGAGGTCTTGCCAAGTTGCCCAGGCTGTTCTTGAACTCATGGGCTAAGGCAATCCCCTCACCTTAGCCTCCCAAAGTGCTGGGATTACAGGCTTGAGCCCCCATGCCCGGCCAATACAGAGAGGTTTTCTAAGTCCCCTCCTTCCCTCTAAAAACCTGTACTGACTTGCAAATACTTCCAGAAACTCTGAGTCAACATGCTGGTGTCCTGCTCCCTGGAGTTAGAGGAAAGTGGAAAGAAACAGGCCTCTCTCTCCTCTTGCCAACCATTTCCTTCAGCATTCCCAACTCCAGACTTAGAAGGTAGCTGTCCATTTCTACCCTGAAGAGTTGGAATCATTTTAGAAGAATATGGCAACATAGCCAGAGCTTTAACCGTTCCCTCCCATCTCCAGTGCTTCTGCGACCCTCCAGGGGATATGGAAGGACCCTGAGGCCCTTCATAAAACAGCAATCTCCCATGTAGGGCCAGCTTCATGGCATGCAACCTGTGTAGTTGCATAGGGCCTAACACTCAGAAGGGCTCTACACTTGGTTCAATGTTCTGCTGTTACCATTTTGACATTTTTAACTTTGAAAGAAATTCACTTCTTTGAACTTATGTTTGGTCAATGAAGTCTGCCAGGACAATAGAGAAGGCATGTGGGAAGATAAGATACCCACAATATGCATGTCTGTCATGCAGTGCCTTGCATTCACATAGAGCGTTGGCAGTGCCCCAAGAGTGGCAAAGTCGGGTGGCTCAGAGTGGGTAAGACGTAAGCATGTTGTGTCTACAACTGAGTAAGCAGGGTCACTGGCAATCCCCAGAGGCCAATGTTTTGAATTCAAACCAGAACTGGCTAGGAAGGGGTAGACCTGAAATTAAAAAAAAAAACAACAGAACTTGCTTTGAACAAGGAAAGAAGTCAATGGTGTTTTAAGAAGCCAATCAGACCTATCATTGTCTTTCTTACTTGGGTTACTTTCCTCTATTAGTTAGCTACTTGTGCTGAAAATAACAGCATGGCAAGAAAGGGAGAAAAGGGCAATTCATAGTTCCTCTTCTGCTGTCTTCCCTCACACATCAGCAAGTTGAAGGTGGATAGTATTAATGGGATGTGCATGAAGTGTCAAGGAGTGGAATTAAAACAGTTGAGTCAGTTCTGTGCAGTGTTTCTGCTGTCCTGGTAAGAATGAAATACAGTCAAGTCTTGTTACTAGAGGTAATTATGTTCTATAAAAATCACTAAGAACACTGAATTAGTGAAACTTTTTCTCCAGGGGAAATACAAGGTTGGGTTCCTGTCAACTTCTGGTCACAACTTTTTTTTGTCAGTTGATTAATACATACCTTCTTTTATATGTGTTTCCACTTAAAGGCATAATATAGTACACCTTATATAATACAGAGGATGCCAAAAAAATGAATGCACATTTTAAGAAAGGAAAAAAATGTTATTAAAGTTGTAATACTCTACCGACAGAATGAGACTCCAACTCAGAAAATAAAAATAAGTAAAAAATAAAGTTGTAATACTCAATATACACTGATAACAAAAGATGAAAACAAATCATGTTTGACTTCGGCAATTATAAGAGGTGCTCAAAATGGTTACCATCAGCATCTAGACACTTTGATTATGGCAAACTAAAAAGTAATACATAGATAACATCTCTTAAAATATGTATACAGGCCGGGCCTGGGGGCTCACACCTTAATCCCAGCACTTTGGGAGGCTGAGGTGAGAGAATTGCCTGAGCCCACGAGTTTGAGACCAG